CATGTACATATTCTTTTTGGGTTCTTTTCTTTCCTTTTTTTTGATTTTTTTTTTAATTTTTTTAAACTATAAACATATATACAAACAAATAACGAATCAGAGATAAACAAATAAAGAATGAGAAATTTAAAGTAAATACAAAAAAATCAAATTGCATTTATACTAGACAGTGAATTAAAAACTTACATTGAAGAAAGTAGTTCAAGAAGAAGAAGTCATATAGGAAAGCTAGCAATCATCGTCTACTTCCATAGCATTTGAATCAGCCACTGCAAGAACATCTCTTCTCTTCAGTTCATTCGAGATCAAAGTATAAAAGACTCTTCCGGCTTCACCAATTTTTATTACACTCAGTATCACGTGCAATAGCTGAGAATCAGCTATAGGTATCTCAGAAGCTCGGAAAAATCAAAGGCAACTACTCGCGTCCCAGAAGAATATTCCATGCTCAGGAGCGGACAAGATAGTTCTTTCCGGATGACAAACATCTGAAGGAAGGGTAAGATCAAGATATGAGACATCAGGAGCCTTACCTTCCTTTGATAATTTCTGAATAAGCGAGTCTTGATTCTTGATGGTCTTCGAGGTAGAAGCAGATTTAGAAGAGCCATTTTTGCTTAACACTTGCTTAAGAAAGGAGAGTTGTGGAGGGGAAGGCAGTTTGTAATGCATCTTGAACATTTGTATCTTTTTTAGAAGGCGATATAGATGACTCAAGACAAAATCCTTGTACATGCTTCTGCTTTTACTTAGAAACTTGATGATCTCCATCCACTCAGTAAGACCATAGGAATTGATCCAAGTCAGCTTTTCTGTCCTCACAGCTCCGTTTTCTTGACCAATAATCAAATAGATCAGATTGGAATCATAGGTCAATTTTTGAGGACCTTTGATTCTGGAATTGACAATTCGAGTAGTAGTGTAGCGTCAGAGAATTGAGTCATTAAACCATTTAATTCTTTTCTCTTTGGTTTCTTCAAACTCAGATCGTGGGATTAAGGAGTGAGATCTGTTGGCTTCCTCAAATTGCTTTTGAAGAGCAATTGAGTTGGCCACATCCTCAAAAGAAATACCTAGGAGATGAAGATCAGTTTCTTGAGGACATGAAGCTTTAAGCACAAGTCTGTCGGTTGAAGGAACTGCAGATTGATGTCTAGCAATTTTAGTTGCTTTAGCTGCAGCAGCTTCTTCATCTGAGGTCATGGGTGCCTTTCCTTCTCTGTGAGTTTGGACTAAGTCCCCAGAAGTAGTGGGAATATCATCTTGAGAAGGGATAGTACCAACCTCAACAGATACTGAAGGCATAGAACATGGTTGCTCCCCCTAAACAGGTGTTGTGGCTCTATCATCATGATCAAATAGTTCCCCCTCAATAGGAGTATCACCGTCTGACTCAGTTGAAGATGAAGAGGTAGAAGAAGTAGAAGTTGAGTCGTCGTCCCCGTTGTCACTGGTAGAAGGATCAACTGTCTTCTCCCCCTCAGTGGGAACATGGGAAGGTCCACTAGCAGCAACAGAAGGACCCTCCACATTTGCATGTGAGGAAGGCACAGAAGCAGTAACAAGAGAAGTAGGAGTAAGGAGAGCACCTGAGGCACGTAGCAAACGTGATATACCACGATGAAGACCGCCAAGAAGAGCATAATCGGACTCAACACGTCAACTAACGGTGGCTAACATAACCCTGTCCTCTTCCGTAAACTGACTGGGACCCAAGTCAACAGATAACTCGGTATCTCTATCCAAGAACAGCTTGGATATCTATGTCCGGGCATCCATCTTGGAGTGAAGATCAGTCAGAGATTGAAGAGTTGTCTGATTTGTGGCAGCTTGACTTTCCGATCGAGCACGAAGATCAGCGATAGCTTCAGAGATGCTGGATTGAGAATCAGATAGAGCAGTCATACGAGCATCCAGAGAATCAACCGTAACTTTAAGAGCAGAGAAGGCAATGCTATGATCTGCCAAGATGGCAATGTGCTGATGCAGTTCATATGTAACGCAGTCCAATCTCCCAGATAAATCAGTGCTAAGGGAGGCCTGTTGAGAGATGAGCAACTGACATTGAGATGTGAAGCCGCTGAGCATGTCCACCACCTCAGTGGGTATGGCATAGATCACCTCAGGAGGAGAAGGAGCTGAGAACTGGAAGCCTGGTGCAGAGGGGGCCCTGGAGGGAGAAACAACAGCTAGAGTAGAAGAGCAAGCTTTGATTGGGTTTGCTGACCCACCTGGCGAAGATACACCAACACTCTCAGTACCATCGGCGCCCTGAGAGTCACCTATGGGAGTATCACTGATGTTGGCGTGAGGCTCAATATCTGTATCAACGATATCGGCGTGAGGCTCAATATCTGTATCAGCAACACTGGCGAGAGGCTCAGTGTCTGTATCACCAACACCGGCGAGAGGCTCGGTGTCTGTATCATCGACGCTTGCGTGAGGCGGGTCGCCGATTACCACTGTAGTAGATGTAGTAGGCTGGTAAGGCTCACTATCTACATCCATAAGAAGAAATTGAAGATAAGGGATGTCAGTATCAGACAAAGCTGATAAATCATCCATCCGTGCAATATCATCAAAATCATCGATCTCGGGTGATAGGCCGTGAATAAGTGGAGGAGAGGAGGGACCTCAGAAAGGGGAGGTGTCCGAGTCATCACCATGGTCATGTAGAGATGCCAAGGTGGAGTCAAGTGGGATCCCCGTATGTACAGCAATGTCCTTTTAAGAGGGCACTGAGGAGCTAGGGGGTGTAAATCAGATGTCCTGGGCTCAGTAGGACCAATTTCAACAAGCTTGGACTGTTGAGAGTCCTTGGTTGGAGATGTTTTTAGCCCTTTTTGGCTTCTTGGTCTTCGTAGAGGAAGAACCAAGAGTGGAAAGTCTAGAGTGACTCCGCTTTGAGTGAGAGGGGTGTGAGGCGGGGTGAGACTCCGAAGGCGCTTTCGAAGTCATAGCCTCAGAAACAGATGCGGAGGATGGGGGAATAAAACTATTTGCCAGCTGTCTCCGGACAGAGGAGGCAGCCTCTTTTGAGGTAGTAGCTGAAGAAGTAGAAGGAGGAGGGGCCACTGACATGGAGGAGTGATGGGTGACCTGAGCAACATGAGGAAGGTCCCCAGCTACTGTGGTCACAGAGCACTCTCCCCATACAGGGTGAGAAGATATGGCAAAGGAAACCATACCTGAAGGAAAAGGAAGATGGTAGACAATGATGCCTTCTTCAAAGTCTGAATGCCAACTTGAGACACTTTGAGGTCATAGAAATTAGTAGTGTCAGCCGACATACATGACCCAAGTTTATCAGCAATCAGCAAGGATATAAATCTAATGAAATGCACGGTAGAGCTTTTGTCACTACCCATCTTCTTTACCAATTCCCCAAACAAATAACTAGCAAAATCAATTTTCCTCTGGAAGATAAGGGCATGAGCTAGCTGGGTAACACTAGTGGGTGACTGATCCATCCCTCCAGTTTTGGAACTTAGACATTGAATAAGATGAGAAAAGAAAAAATTCCAAACTCCACCCATATTCTTCCTATAAAGAGTGTTTTGTTTTATCAAAGCAGAGTCTTGCACATAGCCCATAGTGGAAGCAACAACATGCAGATTATCAACAGATACTAGCTCATCATAAGATGGATAAGTAGGAAGCTCTAACACCCTCCTCAAATCATCAGCATTAAAAGATATATCATTGGCAGATAAAACAGTGGCATGCACAGATTTGGTAGAATCATCATATATACATGTAGCCCAAAATGCACGAAGCAGAGAGTACTAGTGAGCCTCAACCCATAGTCAGGCCCATCGATAGTACGGTCATTCTAGAAAGATCAGATTTTCCACTGTTATTTCCTGATGAACCCAAGACAACTCAGACTCCCAAAGAAAGTGTTGTTGCGGATGTGTCACAATCTGGTGACAGTCCCGCAATAAAAGACCAGACCAGTCCTTTAATCCCTGTTAGGACTGAATCAGAACCAATTGCAAGACCAGTTTTGAAACCGATTCCAGCACCAACTCTTCAAAAGACTACGTCTCCTATTCCAGTCACTCCTTATATTCCTTATCCTCAAAGATTAAGGAATCAAAAGGAAGAACTACAATTTAAAAAGTTTCTTGATGTTTTTAAACAGTTGCACATAAACATTCCGCTGGTTGAAGCTATTGAGCAGATGCCAAGTTATGCAAAGTTTTTAAAAGACATTTTGAGCAAAAAGAAAAAGTTGACTGAATACGAGACCGTAGCTCTGACTGAAGGKTGCAGTGCTTTGTTGTCCAGTAAAATTCCTCCTAAGCTGAAAGACCCTGGAAGCTTTACAATTCCTTGTTCAATTGGAGGAAAAGAAATAGGAAAAGCCCTATGTGACTTAGGTGCTAGTATAAACCT